ACACAGGAAGTTTCAACCCTGTACACTGGCTCTTCATTTGCAGAAACAGCTTTTACGTAGTCATCATACTAGGCCAGGCATCTTGGAGCTGTTGATAGCCAGTTTGGTGTAGTGGTTAAGTGTGCAGACTCTAATCTGGGAGAACCGGGGAGGGGAAGGGGAAGGAGTTTGTAAGCCGCTCTGAGACTCCTTTGGGTAGTGAAGGGTGAGGTATAAATCCAATCTTCTCCTCCTCCTCTTCCTCCTCTTCTTCTTTTTGGTTAACTGTTTATTATTCCTGAGAACAAAGTTGAACAACCCTGCACTGAAGGCCAGGGAAGGGGGTGATGGCCGTCATTCTCCATGAATCTTTCCATTTTTGCAGGTTCCCTGTGCAAACTATAGTTGGTATTGTTTGTGCCTTATAGCAAGCTCCAGAGGTAGACAAGACATTCAACTTATTTACCAGTCACCTAGTTCTCTGCTGGGGTACCATCTGACTGGGAAGTGGCAATATTGGGCCTTGGTGCTGGAAACAACCATTGGTTCACCTGGGTGATTTCAACATTCAATGCTGATGTCTCCATTTCTGGGCATATCATCCCATTTCATAACATCCTTGGCTGCTAGAGGTCTCTCTCAGGTCATTTTGAGCCCTATGCATAATGGACATACTTCAGACTTAATTTCTCGCACTACATCTCTGGAAGAACTGGTTTGGGGGCTCCATGTGGCCTGACCCCTGCCTCGTAGAAACACTGATGCTTTGCAGAAGTGAGAGATCAGTTAAAATGATCCACTCATGAAGACTAATGGATCTGATTGCTTTCCAGAATGACATTTGACAGCTCTGGCACCTTGGATTACTACAAAGCTAGATACTATGAGGAGAGCCGTGAGATATCTGGAACAGCATTTATGGAAAACTCAAACTAAATTCGACAGTGTGCTATGGAGCTCACTGGAAGACCTATGAGGTGGTGGTGATGGTGGTGGTAAAGAAATAGTACTTCACTGCTACAATTGCATCAGCTAGTTTGTGTCTAGCTCTGTTGTTTAAAGTATTTAGGCTCTTATTGACTCCAAACGCAGAGTCCTTAAATTCCCAGGAACCAACTAATAGTTGGGACACTTGCTGAGAATATCTCTCAAATGTGTTCTGATTTAGATGTTGACTGTCATATAGATGAGATGCTAGAAATGGCCAGTACACAGTCTGGTCTGTTTATAGAGCATTACTCTGGCCTGGTTAAAACAATGGACATCAACACAATCCCGTGATCTGTGAGAGCTTGTACTCTGGATTTTTGCCCATCCTGGTTACTGAAATGAGGTACAGATCATGTCAATGAGTCCCTGATGCCCATCATAAATCACTCACTGTCTCAAGGCAACTTTCCTTGGTCCCTGAAACAGGTGGCCATCTGCCTGCTTAAACTAATGCTAGAGAAGAATGATGTGGCCAATTATCACCTAATTTGCCCTTCCTAGGCAATATGAAAGTGTGATGGTAAAACTCCTTCACATCTTCCTAGGTGACTCATCTGAGCTAGATCACTTTGAGTCTGGCTTCAGGCCAGGCTATGGGGCAGAGATGGCATTGGTTGCTTTAGTCCATCTCTTTCTTGCTCTTACTAGATTTATCAGAAGCTTTCAATACTGTGGACCATGCCATTTATTGAGGCATTTGGGAGTAGAAGCAGGGATTAAGGGAGATGCTTTGGATCAATTTAAATAATTTCTTTTGGGAAGGACCTAGATATTTGCTATGGAAGACCAGCTGTCATTAGTGTGAGACTTACGTGGTTCTACAAGACTCAGCCTTATCACCCCATGCTATTTAATCTCTATGTAAAGCCTTTAGGAGTAAGCATTTGTAGTTTTTGAGTAGATAGTCATCAACATGCTGACAACACCCAGCTCTGTATTTCTTTATCCAGATCCCCTTGTGATGCTGCAGAACTCCTGAACCAGTCCTTTACTGCTGTGGTTAAATTACTAAAGGCGAACATGTTAAAACCGAATCCTGATAAGACAGAGGTAAAGCTGGTTAGAAAGGCTGAGGTCTTGAAGGAAATTATGCTTGTCACTTTTGATGGGGTGCAGTTGACACTCACTGACTCAATAGAGCGTAGAGGGGATACTGGATCTAGCATTATTGCTATGGTCACCTTGAAGTTAGACTACTCTACATGGGTCAGCCTCAATGTCAACTCAGAAACTTCAGCTGGTAAAGAGTGCGGAGCCTAATAGCTATTGGGCACTAGGGGGGAACATGCATGTTCCACCCATTCTGCACTCACTCGATTGGTTAACAATCAGTTATCGAGTTCAGGTCAAGGTACTTACTGGACCACCACTCCTGTTATGCTCTTCCACAACACCTTTGCCCATCTGAGCAGCCTTCTGAAGGTGTCATGCTTCAAATCAGTAAGATCAGCAACTGCCTGTTCACATGCATTCTCTGATGTGGGTCTTATGTTGTGGAATAGAATGCCTGAGGAGTCACAAAGCCTCCCACACTTCTAACAATCCACAGAATGTGCACAACAGTAACATTCAGGAGGGTATTTAAGGGGATTAGAATTGTAGAAGAATTAGGAAGGTGCTTTTATAATTAGGACTGTAGTCTACTGCAGTTATTGGTGGTACTTCCTTGCTTTCATTGCATAGTTTTCATCCTTTGCACTTCCACTTACTATATTGTTTATAGCATACCTTGCATTTGGCAGTTGGTTGTTCGCATTGCCTCACAGGTTTGTTGCAAGGATAAAAGGGAGGAGAGGATGATGTAACTTGCTTTGGGTCCCCTACACAAGTTGGGGAGAATAGTGGGGTATAAATAAATAAACTTGCTTTGAGATATTATCAAAATAATAAACATTCAAGGGAAGTTGATTAAAAGAAATACATATACAGTATGCAAATTAGAAATCCTACCTTTCAATTGGATTCAAGCAGAGATGAAGATGTAAACATACCTTGCTAATTCAATTAAAAACTCAAAATGATATATTAATGCCTCCAACTTTTACTTTTATAATCTTTTAAACTCTGTCAAATGTAGCTAATATTTACATGTTGACTTTAACCATACCTAGCAGACCAGGCCTTGGAGTAGGTTAATTGCATAGGAAGATTTTACTATGTTTACATTTTTATCTTAAATTAATTTTTTTAAAGCACAGTAAAGAGTCTGAGGACAAATTATTCAACTGTTTATCATACATAAGACTGCATGACTATAATACAAAGGGCTTGTCTTTTCATTTAACGTTACAATATACACAGCAAGTCCGGACTAGATCTTACAATCTGAACACAGGTATTTAACCTTTTCCATGCTGTTTATGTTTACAATGCACAGAAGTCCTGTAACCAAACTGTGTAGTAAAGCACACAAAACTGGACTGTAACATAACACAGTATGCAGAAGCACTGAAGTTTATGATTTTTCATTATGTAGGCTTAAAAACAGTTTTAATTTTTGGTGCTTGCTAAGGTGTGGCAACCAGCACAGGAAAAAAAACAAAAACAAAACAAGTTACCCATATTTGTTACCCTTATATTCCTAGACAGCAGTAAGTACTGGATTCCTTTTTGTATTGCTAAGCTCAGTGTTCCATTCCAAGGATGAGAGCCTTTCAGTCACTGAACTGTTTTGAACTACAGAAGCACAAAAATGCTTCAATCACAGGCTTGACATTTCAGTACAAAAGAAATATGGATCCCTTGATTTTTAAAAAAGGTTGATTTACAAAAATTGGTAATTCCAAAAGAATTCTTTCACACTTACACTATATTCAGCCTCTCTGCTGCCATTATGAGGAATGGTGAAAAAGAATACTTTTTGTTCAGAAGAAATGACCTAGTTGGTCACATAGAACTGACCAGTATAAAGTACATGGTTTTCTGCTGAATGACCTTTTTAAAAACTGGTTTAGTGGCAGAGGTAGATTACTGCTTTTGTTAACACATAAAGGGGAAATAGCGTTAACCAGGGCTAGATAATAATTTCCTTGTCCCTATTTCCAAATGTAATTTACTATGTTTTATCCATAATTTAAAAATTTTAAATGGGTCCAGAAATATAGCAACTGCCAAGCTGACTACGTTACATTAAGGCAGCAGAACCTCAAAATTAGGCACCTGTTGAATACAGCCTGCTAACCTCAGGTCACATGAGCTTTTTGCTTTACTCATACTAGTGTTTTGGACCTATTCATGCAATCAAGGTCTTGCCTTCAAGTTTACATTTATGCTAATAAGGAATACAAGAATCAACTGTTGGTTTCATAGCTTCTGGATCTAGTGTCCCTTTTACTTTCAGAAGCCTGAACACATTTATAATGTAACAGATGTTATAGTTTTGAATTAGATGTTGATCTATCTTGTTCAGCACACAGACTGCTTTAAATGTATTGGCTATGAATTCAACAACAGTTCCAGTTTTGTTTAAGCAATAGTACAGCCATAATTTTCAACTGACATTTAAAAATGGTCTAGTTACACCTTGTGTCAAAGTGCAGAACTGCTACATTATTGGTTACAGACATCTATGTGCTATAAAAACAGCTTTGGTACAATAAATTATCAAAAAGAAAATAAATTTTTGTAAAATTCACAGCATAATTGTGAGGCAAAAAAGCAGTCACATAAAATTCTGCATTTTTAAAATGTTCAGGATGAACAGAAGACATCTTTGTGCAGAAGTAATGGTGGAGAAACCACGTGCCCAGAAAAAGCAAAAGAAAGAAAGAAAAGAATGGGGGGAGGGGGGGAGAAAAGCAGGAAGGGACACAGTTGTAGCTATTTCCATCAAAAGCAAACCACTACTCCTGTGACCTTCAACCAATAAGGAAGTCAACTTTATGACACACGCAAAGTGACCTTGCAATACCTTACAATAAGTGGATCACAAAAGTCTATTTTAAAAGAAAGGCCTCTTGAATTACCCATTCTCTGTGTTTTCAGCATTAAGGACTGTCTGCAAAAGCATGTCCAAAAGTGATTGCATCTGAAATGGTAGGCTCTTCTAACTTAGAGTCCAAATCCATAAGGCCAAAGGTTATCCCAAAGACCACCACTTACGACTTCCCCTGGACTGGCCAAGACCAACCTGTTGATTGCTTCTCAGTGCACCTTAGTTACAAGACCAGTCATATTCCACTACTAGCTGATTGTTGTCTCAAACACAAGAGACATAGAATCCCATTATAACTGCTGCTTTGATTCTCAGTAGGTTCAGATAAGGAGAGTCCTGATTACCGCAATTTAGCATGCTTAGTGTGCCTTATGAACACCATTACAACTGTCCCTTATTATATCTGAAGATTATATTTTGTAACCTGAAGGTCTCTCTTCCTTACAGTACTGCATTCCCATGCTCATGTGTGTTTGGGAAACTAGACTGTGTATTACTCCTCCCCCCTTTAAAAACAAACAAACCCAAAGGTCCATTTGTATGATCCTGAATAGTGCCTTTAAGAAGCTGTTTGCAACTAAGACCGATATTTGAACATTTATTCTGGTATTAGAAGGGGGAAAAACTATGACTTGGTTGTGGTAATTAAAATAGGGGCAAAGGAGGTTCTTACCTCCTCAAAACTATGTAGGATTGGTCTGGACATGGCTCTAAAAACTTCAGTGTCCCTTTGCAATCTGTTCAAGTTTAAAAAAATAGTCAGCTTTGCTCTCCTATAGCGGTTCAGTAAGTCTATCTCCTTCTGATTCAAGCAGCTTTGCACTTTTTTGGAAAAACACCACTTCTATAAAAACACACAAGAAACAAACTTGTTTCAATTTAGTCACGAGCTAGCCACAGGACTTTGCTGAACACAAACTCCTGTCATGGGAGACTCTTCTCTATCAATTCCCTGCCTCATTGCAAGGTGTCCTTCAGTCATGTAATGAGCAGGACCTGTATTAGCAGAAAACTGGTATGTGGGATGTCCTGCTATGCCAGTTTCTTGGCGTGGATTAGAGTAGACTGTTAAATTGACATCCATAGCTCCATTTTGTCCGAAGTCCAATGTATTAGCAGCCACTGGGCGGTTCTGATAGGCTTGATTGCCTTGATTACCAGTTGAGGAGGAAGATGTAGAGGAAGAAGTAGTTGAGGAAGACAGGGATGTCATGGAGTGGTGACTATGACCCACCTCCATAGAATCCTGGGTGGAGGAGCTATTTGTTGGAGAATTGTAGACCCTTGGCCTGGTCCGACTAACCAAGGCCTGTTGTCCATGATGGTGGTGGTGGTGGTGATGGTGGTGGTGGTGGGAGGTGTTTCCATGGTGATGATGTAATGCATTCTGTTGCTGAGGGGTTACATGGAAAGAGGTTTCTTGAACCGGATGCGTTTCAACAGTGACTTGCGTTGGAGCTTCAGTGCCCGTCCAACCAAGAGGAGGAGGAAATTGCTGTCGAACCTATTATTAAAAAAAGGCTTGTGGTAATTTTTTTCTATTAAAATATTTATATTTCAACTTTTGATACAAATTTACAAGGTGGCTAACAAAAGCTGAGTAAAAGCCAACATGCAAATTAAAACCACATCAAAATAAGACAGCTCATAAAACTGGAAGCCAGTCAACAAGCAAATTGCACTCAATCATAACTTAAACACAGGGCACCCCAAAAACTCTTGGCCTGTTGCCTAAAAGCACAACATAGCAGCATCATGAAGCTTATTGATACCTTTCCCATGAGTTCTCAAAAATATATATAAAAGTTAAAATGAATGCTTATGAACTATAAACTATGCTTTGCAATGACAGTAGTATTTTCCCTCGGGAGAACAGGCAGGCTTTAGTTCAAATTTGCAAATGAACCCAACACTCATACATTCCTAGATGTCATAAGAGTGGCTTGAATGGTAAGAGACTGGAAAACAATTGGCCTAGAACTCACTATGACTTCACCTGACAACTATGAAGTAATAAATTATACAAGTGGGCAATGTCCTTCCTAGAAAGAAAAATGAACACCTAGTTTAAGACAGGATGACTAATTCTGTATAGGTAAAACATGATTTGATGCTATCTGAAGACAGCTATCTGGGTTCAAGGAAGAGAGCAGGTGGAAGAAGTGGTTTCTTTAATAATGAAGTGAAGTCATAAAGGGAACAAGCCACATATAATACACAGTGCCTTTGTAGGGACTCTTGGGGACAGACAAAATCAGTTGGTAGTCCAGTGGGGCCATCTATACTTTAGAGCATGAAGCCCATGCACAGGGAGTAAACGGGGTTGTACTTACATGTAACTGTTGTTTGATTGATCTGTGCACAGGCACACATGCAACTGAGCATGTGTGCTGTACTGCCACGGAGGTTTTACTAGAAAGCTCTTCTCTTCTAGCACTTTCTAAAGCACAAGGAGTACTCCTTCCCCTAGTCTTTCCTCACTGCTGTGAAGCAGAATACCAAACTAGTGTCAAAGCGACCCACAGCAGAGAAAGGAGAGAGGGATGTGTGTCTGCACAGAAGACCACTCAATGAACCACCATTACAGGTAAGTGCAACCCCATTTTCATTATCATAGCTTCTGTGCAGTCCCACATGGGAGAATAGCAAGCTCACCTGACAAACTGCAGGAGGATGTGGGCTGTTTAGTGGAATAAAGTCTGCAACACTGCTCTTCCCACAGCTGCCCTGCTTCTGGAATCAATGCCAATTGAGTAGTTCTTCACATACGTTGAGGGGGACGACCAAGCAACAGCAACCGAAACCTTGCTGAGGATGGCTGCAGAAGACATGTGCCCTGGTGGAGAGCGCTTTCACAGGAAAAGGGCAAGGGGTCCTGGACCTGGTGCATGTGTGTTTGGCGGCAGAACTGAAGGGACTCGCCCCTTACTGGGAACCAGAGAAGCGAACAAATAAATGCTGATCTTTGCAAAATTTCTGTGTTCTTTGCAAGTAAAATAGTAAAGTCCTCCTCACATTTGGTGAAAGGAGTCCATGCTCCTCTTCAGTATAGGGAGAAGGGGAAAAGATTGGCAATATAATATCCTGTGCAAGGTTAAAAGCTGACACCTCTAGAGATGGGTGTGAAGCAGGAAAATGAAGTTAGGTTCATGATTCATGGCATGCTCAGTTTGCGAACCACAGACCATCAAGAACTTTTTGGCACTATTTTTTATTTATTTATTTATGCTTTCGACTTGTATCCCGCTCGAACCCCGAGGGGTCTGAGCGGCTTACACAATTTCATTTATCCCTATCTATGGCCACATTGTCAGGGGTGGGGACTGCCCTACCGGCACCCAATGGTGGGACTCGCTGTTCTTCGGCTTGGCTTCGGCTCGGCCCGGCTTCGGCTCTTCTTCTTCCAGTGGCCTTCGGAGTCGGCAGTTTTTTCCGGCGGGCCCATCTGGCACATGGTTCGCTTCAGCCTGGCTCCAGCTATGTCCTTTAGGCTCCGCCGCGCCTGCGCTTCTACGTTCCTGCGCCTTCTGGCTCCGCCTCCGCCATCATCTGATCCACCGCTGGTGTTGCGCCTCCTTGCCATCACTGCTCGCTACTTCACTCATCGCTGCTGCTCGTTGCCGCCCCGCCGCTGCCAATGCCCCCACCAAGCCTCATGATGGAGGGGGGTGCCCCCTGCCACCTAGGGCAGGTACCCATTTATCTACTCGCTGTTATTTTGCTTTCGAACCGCTGGGTGGGTGGGAGCTGAGACTAGGGCCGGGAGCTCACTCCGGCCGCGGTGGGTCTCGAACAGCCATCCGCTCCCACTAAATGCACTGGTTCAGTTCGTAAGGTTTGTAACGCCGTAGAACTGGGTCCTAGAGACACCAAACGTGCAGGGGAACTCCAGCTGACTGTCCTCTACCTGCCCTCCAAGTTTGGTGAAGACTGGATTTATGGGGTCCAAGTTACAGCGCCCCAAAGAAGGTGCCAAGAAAATGCTTTCTGCGGAAATGAAAGGCTCCATTTCAGAAGTGTATAGAATGGACCCTGTGCTAGACAGAGGCATCAGACTCTCAGATGACTTCCCCCTGATGCTCGTCTACATGCCCTCCAAGTTTTGTGAAGATTAGATTTAGGGTTTTAGAGTTATGGCTCCCCAAAGAAGGTGGAAGCTTGGACTGAAGCTGGCTTAGACCAGACTGAATTGGCAGTCTCAAGGAGTTCAGGCAGCATGGGTAGTACCACTTGCCCCAACAAGGTGGAGTAGGTGACCTAAAGAATGGGATCTGATGGCTTTGGGGGGTGGTCAGTATTTGTGTTTGTGTGCTTGTGTGCCTGGAAGTTATGGCTGACTTCTGGCAAACCCTAGTGGGGCTCAGATGTTTCAGGAGACAGCTTATTATTGCTGGCCTCTGCATCCCAGCCCTGGTATTCTTTGGTGGTCTCCCTTCCAAGTACGTACCAGGATAAGCCCTGCTTAGCTTCCAAGATCTGACAAGATCAGGCTTACCTGGGATATCCAGGTCAGGGCCAAGCAGACAATGTTCAATTGAAGGACCGTCACCATTCTTGTTAACTGCTTAATATAGACTAGAGTCATAAATCTTCCATAAGGGACACTGGAGGGAGATCCCTCACCTTCTTGTCCAGGGATGGATCAGAGGCAATGTTGAAAATGGCATCAGAGCAGCCAGAAAACTCTTCCTCCATCAAAAACCTCCGACAGGAAAGGTAGTTAGTGCCGATGACATTCTGATGGGGTCAGAGTCAACGAATGTCAGCTTCAGAACCATCTGTAGAAACCACATCAGTTGGTTGGATGGTAAGCCTCACTGGTAAAATGGGCATCAGGGAGGGGAACAAGGCAGTTGCCAAACATAGGAGCAGATCCAGGAGGATCCTGAGATGACATCTTCTTCTTAGTTTTAGGGCCCACAGGAGCTGGGGGTCTGATCATCTCAAACTCATCCTCAGAACCAAAGGAGCTGTCAAGACATTTAATGTGAGGCTAAGGTACACAGGGTACCTGCAAAACACTCTCAGGTTCAGGGACAGATTTTCTGACTGGCAGTGAAAAGCCTGCTGGATCCAAACAGTGTATGCACTTCAAGTTCCATTTCCTCGAGGCAGTTCCAAAGAACTTCTCAGAACTAAGGCAGAGTGGTGCAAATGGCATGATGTTGATTCTGCAAGAGAGGCTGACGGCACTGACACCATAAAGGGTGTATGGGCCTCTTTTTCACCCTCAGTGGGGTGAGGCAGCTTTGGGAGCTTGCAGTGCCTTCTCCCACAACACCATTTTAAATCTTGCAGCCCTCTCATGTTGGGCCTCTGGGGTGAATGGAAGATCTGTCTCACTTACTGCGAATCCAGGGGTGGGGCATTCTCAACTTCTGGGAGAAGCTCCTCCCTATAGACAGGCAGGGTTGTCAATCTTTGTGCAATTCCTGGAGGGAAGGGGCTTCTCTCTCAGATCTCAGTCTGCTCCCAAAGCAGTATAACTTCCTCTCCCAAACATTTATACAAAAACCAAGAACAAACCTCCAACAAACAGTTGAGGAAAAAAAGACATAACCGCATGGAGGCACAAACATAATGTAGAAACGACTCCCAGAGAACCTCACCAGGAAGAGGAAGGACAGAAGGAGGGCAAGGAAGCCCTAGGTTCGGACAGCATACCTACTCTGTTCCAAGGAAGTGACTGCCCCACCCTGGACCACCGAGAAGGAAGATTCATGGTAAGTGATACAAACCAGTGGTCCAGGGTGGGGCAGTCTGAACTTTTGGGACATAGAAAAGCAGTGTGCCCCAGGGAGGTAAGAGACTTGGCTTTCAGATTGAGAAGGCACGCTGTAGGACCCTTCTTTCAAAGGCAGCCCCCATAGAGGCTAATTTATCAATCCTGTAATGCCTGATGAAAGAGTAGACAAACATCTAGGTGGCAGCCTTACATATGACTTCTAAGGAAGGAAAGAATCTGTAGGCTGCAGAGGTTGCTGTCCCTCTGAGGGAGTGTGCCATAATGCCTGGAGAAGGGTCATGATCTTTGGACTTGTAAGCGAGGGTACAGCCTCTAACCCATCTACTAATGGTAGAAGTAGATGCTCTGTGCCCTAGGGAAGGCTTCCTGAAAGAGACAAGCATAGAGTCAGTCCTACAAAAGGGCTTAGCCTATTAAGGTAGAAGCTCAGGGCCCTCTTAACATCCAAACAATGCCATTCCTTCTTCTGAGGGTGCTTGGGACTAGAGGAGAAGGAGGGGAGGACCAGGTCCTCTGACATATGAAAGGCTGAGTTTACCTTTGGGACAGAGGTCAGGTCTGGACAGAGCACTACTCTATTGCTATGAAAGACACAGAGCTCTTTGTTCATGGGGAGAGCTCCAAGTTCTGACACCCTCCTGGCCGAAGTGGTACTGACTAGAAAGATGGTTTTAAAGGTAAGCTGTTTGAGAGGATAAGCAGCCATTGGCTCAAATGGAGTCTGAGAGAGAACCTTGAGCACTACATTCAAGCTCCAT